TCTTCCGGACCCGCCCGAGCTCCAAGAGGTCCTGCGCGGCTTCTGCATCGTCGCCGAGGAGCTGTGGCCCGCCCGGCACACGAGCGGTCGGGGCCCGGGTGGGTGACTGCGGGTGTTGAGCCTGGGGCAGCTTCCGACTTCCACACTGGCACCGCCAGACTGGGTCTCTGAGGTGGCTCTGGTGACTGAAATCCGCCCGGGGAGGCTGCCGGGTCACCCCACTGAGCTGCGGGGTCGGGTGGAGAACGGGAGGGATAATTTACACACCGCGGAACGCACCAATTTTAAGTATGTGACTCACTGACTCATAGTATACAGTCATGTGTGGCTTATGACAAAATGGTTTTGAGAAATGCGTCCTTCGGCGATTTCATCCATCGTGGGGTGCATTTAATAGAAGACAAATAGGCTGTCTCGGGGCGATCCAATCTTTTAGGACCACCGTTGCAAATATGGTCACCCCTGAGTGAAAAGTCGTGTGCCAGGCTTGGCTGTATTTACAGAGCTGTGCAGCCATTAGCATAATAAGGAAATCTCACCAGAGGAACGGATTTAGATAGAGGAGCAAGGACCCTAGGGCATTTCCGTTAGAATTAAAGATGAGGAAGAACTAGAAGGGAAGATGGGAAAGGAGTGTATTGTGCTATGAGAAAGCCACAAGTGCATGCTCTTAGGTGAAAAATGAATGAATGTGTGGTGTCATATTTGTAACCCCAGCTCTCTTGAGAGGCTGAGGCAAGAGGATCAAAAGTTCAAGCCCAGTTTGGGCAGTTCAGTGAGACCCTATCTTGAAAAAATATAGGCCAGGCGTGGTGGCCCGCATATGTAACCCCATCGGTCGGGAAGGCTGAGGCAGGAGGATTTCCATGATCTTGAGGCCAGCCTGGGATACATAGTGAATTCAAGACTGAATTATGTAGTGAGACCTTCTCTCAACCAAAAAAACAAAACAGACACTACATCTCCAAGTGACAAGAGGCTCAGCATTGGATCCCTTAAACAAAGCCACTCTTAAATTTGAGAAGAATTTGAACACCTTTCCTCATAGGCCACTAAAGCAAAACAGGTGTGGTCCAAAACAGCAAATATTAGTATTCTTTTCTATCAGGAATTATAGAACTCACTATATGTGCAATTTACTCTTTAAAAAGTTGAATGATTTTATTGTTGATGAAAATAAAGTCAGACATTCCAATCTATATATTCTAATTTGATTTTAAGATGAACACCGGAATAGTATACCAATTTGAAAGGTTAGCCTATATATAAATACCCATTATTTTAAAATAATGTCTTTAAATATCCATAATTACAAATTAAAAACACTTTTCCTTTCTCTTTAGATAAGGAGTCTTAAAAACTTCTCATAAAAGAAATTTTATTGCAAAAGTGGAAGTTTAAACTAAAAATCTACAAAGAAAATAATGCCAATAACCTTTCCAGATAATGTCCTTGAAAAATGAATTTCAAGGATCTAGAGGAATATCTTTCATCTTTAACCAGAATGAAGTCTTTGAAAAATACCAACATTCAGAGTCTCGAAAGGGGAAGTGGGGTTTAATACAATGAATTATAAAATTTTCTCTTTTTTTTTTTTTTTTTTTTGAGACAAGGTCTTGCTCTGTAACTCAAGCTGTCCTTGAGCTCACTGTAGCTGAGGCTGGCCTTGGACTCAGGGCAATCCTCCTGTCTCAGCCTCCTGAGTGCTAGGATTGCAGGCATGTGCCACCATGCCTGGCTTTCTAGTTTATTTTCAAACATATCTGTCATCATAAGCTTGCAAATAGAATGTGAATTTTATGTTCTTGAATGATCAGAATTTAAATATAAAATTTCACATATTTTCTGGTCTGACATTATTACAAAGTTTTATTCTAAAATTTGAAGCTAATTTGTTGATGTTTTTGGAGAAGAGATGTGTGAGCATGTATTCCTTGTTGACAGCAAGAGAACATATAGTCATTTTGAACTCACTGCGCATCCCAGACTAGCTTCCAACTCGAAACAGTTCTCCTGCCTCAGCCTCCCAAGTGCTAGGATTACAGGTGTGTACCATACCTGGCTGCATCTTGATCAGTTTTATGCCTCTACTCCCACCCTCCCTTTCCCTCCTGCCCTAGATCTCCTTCCCATCTCCAGTCTACCTTGCTGTTTCTTAACGTGTCTCTTTTATTTTGCTCTTTAAATTACAGTGGCACCTCAGTTCATGAATTTAATTTGTTCCATGATTCTGGGAAAGATGACCGTGTTGATGTTGGTCACCCAATGCAGAGTTTGCAAACAAAAGCAAATTTTTGCCCATTGCTTCTGTTTATGAACCAACTTGTTCATGAACAGAAGTGTTGGTGAACTAAGGTATTACTATATTTATATTTTTGGGTCTCTCATTAGAGAGCGATATATAGCTGTCTGTGTCTGATTTATTTCACTTAGTATTAAGGTTTCAAAATTTTAGCTGAGCATGGTGGCACACACCTGTAATCCCAGCACTTAGGAGGCTGAGGCAGGAGGATCGCTGTGAGTTTGAGGCCAGCCTGGGCTACATAGTGAGTTCAAGGCCAACCTGAACTACATAGTGAGTCCCTGACTAAAAAAAAAAAATCTGTTTTCCTACAAATCACTCAAATTTATCTGCCTTTATGACTGAATAGTGTATATACACCACATTTTCTCTACCCATTCGTCTGTTGATGGACAGATAGGCTACTTCCATGACTAAGCTCTGCTGCTATAAATATGGGTATGCACGTATCACTGTAATATGTTGGCTTTAGCTCTTTTGGAAAGATACTCAGAACAGGTATTAGCTGAATTAACTGGAATTTATATTTTTAGTTTTGTGAGGAATCTCCAGTGGGTGTATTCTTGGTACATATGCTATTGATTTTTGTGTGTTTGTTTTCTGTCCTACCCCTGTGCTGCTTTTATTAGTTTTGGGAGTCTTCTGTTAGAATTTTTTGGATACGCCTTAACAAAAAGATCGTGCTATGTGCAAATAAGGATAGTTTGACTTTTTTCCTTTCCCGTTTAAGTCTCTTTTCTTTCTCTTGCCTGTTTGCTCTGGCTAAAGTTTCAGGCATATTGAACAGGAGTGGCACCAGCAGACATGCTTGTCTTGTTGCTGACTTCAGAGGAAAAGGCTCCAGTTTCCCCCACTTAGTTCAGTGTTGGTAGTGGGTTTGTCATAAATGGCTTTTATGGGTTTAAGGTAAGGTCCCTCTATACCTGTTTTAATCGGGGTTTTACCCTGAATGGTGTTATACCTCTGAAGGTACCTTACAAACCCTGGGGCTGCTGATAAGATTTTCTCCATCTTAAATTGTAAACAGCCTGACTTAGATGTACCTCAGTATAGCTTTCTTTGTACTTCTCATGCTTGAGATTTTCAGAATGTATTAAATTCTGTGGGTGACATCTGCTATTAGCTTTGGCAACTTCTTAGTTGTCATTTCATCAATGCCAGCATTTCTCCATTTTTATTCCGGGAGGCCCAATTTTTTTTTTTTTTAATTTTGTTTAGGTACCGGGGATCAAACTCAGGACCTTGTGCCAGGTGGCGGAACCACTGAGCTAAATCCCCAGCGCTTCAATTTTACACACGATAGATCTTTTGAGTGTATATCATAGGTCTCCAATAGAGATTTTTTTTTTTTTTTT